GAAAGGGATTGGTATTCCATATGGTATCACAGCGTTACTATTATTGACCTATGTGTGAGGAGGATACTGCGCCTTAATGGTTTCAACTTAAATCAAAAATTTTGACTTTACAGACTAATTTTGTTATTAAATGCTCTTTTGCATTGGCCAACGCAAAAGCTCTTATTAGGTGCCGCGAAGTAAGCGGGCATTGGCTAGTTGTAACATAAAAAAGTAAAGGCAGTGAAATAAGGCAATTTCCTATAAGACTGTAAATGATTTTTTAAATATATTCAAACACATAAATATCGATAATATAAGCGAAATCGTAATTTAACCATGCTGCTACTCTATTCTAGTGTATCAGTAGTCCATTTAGCTCTATATTATGACAATGCAGCAAAAGTTATTTAATATAAAAAGAAATCGCCTTCCATACGATTTTTATACCCGAGCGCACTTGTGCACAAGGATATTATATCCTTGTTTGTTTGTTTGTAACAGGCAAAACGAACCGAGATAGATATAGACAAATGTATACATAAATGATCAGAATGAAAAGAAAAATCGATTAAGCGGTGACTGTCTGTCCGTCCGTCCGTCCGTCTGCGCACACCATAACTCCAGTAAAAATTAAGATATCTTAACGAAACTTGGTATGTGCACTTCTTTTGGGCGTAGGACGGATGGTGTTGAAAATGGGAAAAATCGGACAATAACCACGCCTACCTCCCATATAACGGTAATTTTCAGAAATACAAAAATATTTTGGTAACTACTGAAGATTATTCACTCAAGATTGATATTTACAATAATTTTTAGACGAGAAATAAGAATATTATTATTATAATTATATATTATTATGGTTACATGTGTATATCTTGGTATCCGCTTCACCGATTTCTTCCAAACTTGGCACAGTTGTTGGCCTTGGTACAACATAATAAATGACCACGCCCACATCCCATATAACGATAATTTAGAGAAATACGAAATACTCGATAAATCCGTAAATATTAAAGTTAATTCATTCAAAATTTATGCTTGCAACAATTCTTTACCAAGAAATACATTTATGGTAAAATTTTGGAAAATGGGCGTGGAACTAACTGCCCACTTATGATCAGATATATGTATCTCGGTAACCGTTGTACCAATTTGTACGAAACTCGTTATGGCTATTGCGCTTTCCACATAAAAGCAAAACGTTGAAAATTATTGAAATCGGACTAAAATTACGACCGCTTTTCAAATCACGGTAAATTTCAGAAATGCTTGAAACTTCAATATTTCGAAATTTAAGGACAATAATTTACTCATAATTGATACTAAAAACAATCTCTTAAAAAGAAGTAAGATTGTTTGGAATTTTGGAAAATGGGCGTGATATCCCCCACATATGATTATATAAGTTTATCTCATTTAGGGTACTCACAGTTTACTTCTAAAGTTAAAAGGTGGCAACTTTAACAAGATAACACACTCGAACTGTGAGCAACCCTTATGTTTAAATAAAGTATTAAGTTGATCAACAATACCACGCATTGCTAGACCGTTTGCCTTTCACGCGTTTGTGTTTAGAGAGCATCAACAAACCACATACATATTTCTCTCTATTCTCTCTTCTCTTTTTTATACTCAGCTAGCACAGCGCAAAAATAAAATAAAAAATAACCTTTGCCAGCTCCAGGCAGGCGCAAAGAGAAACTTATGTACAAGCAGCGCTGCGCCCAAAGCGAAATTCATGTATGTATGTACAAGCAGCGATAGATGCCAGTTTAACACAGAACATAAACATGAGACAAAGTCTAGTAATTTTGCCCAAAAGTGTTATCTCTAATTAGTATGGGAACCAACAACAAACAAAGTTACCACATGGTAAAATGTTTTAAAGTTACCTGGTGGCAAAATTAACACAGTAGATAATATAGAACTGTGAGTACCCTAATTATGTCTAACTGAACGTTCTATCGACGATGTTTAAAACAGGGGTAAAAGCACACGGCTTATAATGTAGTGGTAGTTTTCGGAAAGGTGGAAAACATATATTTAATACTTGCGCCGGGTATTTAATGTTCGGCTCGCCCGAACTTAGACTTTCTTACTTGTTTTGTATGTCTTTTCCTTTGATAACCACGATATCTGTTATTTTTTTTACATTTTGAGGACAAAAATTATGCATATCCAGCAATTTTAGATATTAATAGCGTTCTGAAAACACCAAGTTATTTAAAAATCTCCATAAAACGAACTAGTAAAATGGAGTATTTTAGATACTATTTCCCAACAAATAGTAGTGTAAAAATTAAGATCGGCAGCACTGAAAATAAGCTCGCCGATCTTGTCAAAATTACAACAAACACGTCGCTACTGACAACACCTTGTTATTATTCCACCATGATTGGAACGTATCAGAAAAGTAGCATTTACATATAAAGATACAAATCGTGTAAGAGCAAACTTAAGTGTGATAGTGAGAAGGTGTATGCATGGTCGTAGCAAGGTAGGTGCAGGGCGCTCGGGTATAAAAATAAGGCTTAAATGATAAAAGTGACCACACATTCACGAAGAGTAGAATTTAGCTATTTATTTTTAGCATTTATTATTGCTTTGAAAAAGATTTCTAAGATATCTTTGTTTGTTTGTACCTAATTAATGCTAATTTGTAACAATAAATTGCACAAAAAATTAAAAAAAGAAATTGTACTCCTTTTTTATCTTTTGTACTGCTTTTTTTCTATTCAAAATAGAAATGTACTCCTTTCTCTGTTTCAAAATCTGGCAACCATACCTTTAAATCACGTTCGTTCAGATGGCCCATTCGGCAGTGCCACAGATTTATTTCACTTTTGGCTTGCGACACAAATGCACTGTTTGTATGGTATTTCATAAAGTACAAATTACCACTACGTTCTGCAGTAAACAACACTTCTTCATTTTTGTCAATCATCAATTGCATCATTTTTGCGAAAATGCACCTCATACCCCCTGTCAGTTATCTTCGATACAGACAGCAAATTTGTGCGTAAATCTGATACGTAGAGCACATCGCTTAATGTTATATTCTTTTCATAACCTTTTTGATTCACCTTTACTTCTATGTCACATTTGCCAGTAATTTTTGCCGAATTCTTGTTAGCTAAATTTAACACTTGATTTACTTCAACCATCTCAGAAAAATTATTATTATATACGCTCATGTGGGAAGTGCACCCACTGTCCAAACACCAGTTGTCATTTGCATTCGGACACAAAAAAACAGATTCTGTTGCTCTTAAGGAGGAATTTTGCTCTTCGCTTTTGTTAGCTCTTTGACTACCTTGGGTTTTTGAACGACACTCTCTTGCATAGTGGCCACGATTGAGAGAATACAAAGGTTGCGCCCACGATCCAGAAAATAAAGGTCGCGCCATTCGCGGACCGCTAACCCTCTCTTCGTCGATTTGACAGCATCCACCTAATCGCTGACGTCATAAAATACTTTTGTTTACATTCCCTGTTGCCAACTTCATGCTTTTCGCACCAATTTAGTGGGTTTGGTGCTTGGCGCGTTTTTGGTGCTTTTGTTTTTAGTTTGAAGACACCAAATTAGAAAATCTTAAAAAAATGGAAGCAAAATTTATAGCAATCGTAAGTGTGGTAAGCAACTTTACAAAAATTTAAACAAAATCATGGCACAGTGACAATCATAAGCGACAACAAAATATGTGGCAGCACCTTCAATTATGCCAGAAGAAATCAACCGTCGTGCAAGAAACATTCATTTTTATTAATTTGAATCGGCATCCTTACAATAAAATTATGTATGCATATAAAGTCTATAAAATACTCCAATAAAAATTTGGTGCTTTTTCAAATTCAAAACTTGGCAATACTGCCTTTTGTCCGATGCTTCCTCTTTTTCTTGTCGAGTTCGTCTTGCTCTCTCATTCTGGTATTTATTGACGTCACGGCCGGTTGCTCTCAGCTCGATTGGCGCAATCTTGTATTCTATCATTCTTGGGTTGCGCCGATCTCGGACCGCTATTCCTCTCTTAACGAATTTGACAGAATCGTTGTTTGCATGACGTCACACTTGTGCAACTTGTTAACGTTTTCCTTGAAACTTTTTTTCTTCTTCTTCCATTCTTGCTCACGTTTTGGCATTTCTCTCTCGCAATTGCACCAGTGTGACGTCACACAAAAGTTATTCTCAAAAATCCTCTCTGATCGGCCACTTTTACCACACTTGTAACAAACAAAAATTTCGTTTCGTTTCTGCGCGTTTTCCGCCGCTATAACCCCGATTTTTTTATTTTTGCTGTGCATATTTGTCTTTTGCGTGTTTTTCACATACAAAGCATCGCTCTCACTTCGATCATTTTTAGCTTTTCGCGATTCCCACTCTTCTAATATATTTACACGCAGCACTTCGGGCTTTGGGAAATCATCGCGAGTTTCAAGCGCACAACGGAATGTTTCATATGAGTCTGGTAAACTGTACAGTAGTAAAATTGCAAGCAATTCGTCACCGATCTCAACACCAATTTCCTTGAGTTTCGCGACTGCATCAAAAAAGTCATTTAGATGGTTTCTAACCACATCACCCTCTTTCATACGTGAGAGCGCAACTCTTTTTAACAAAGTCGCCTTTCGAGCGGGGCCTTTCGACTCGTATGTCGCTTGCAATTTTTGCCACATTTTCTGCGAACTTGTGCACTCAGTAATAAGATTTAATTCTGTCGGACTAATTGCTAGCATGATGTCGGCACATGCCTTTTCGTCATTTGTTTTCCACAAAACTGCGGCTGCTGCATCAGCCGGACATTCTTTATCCCCGTTCACATATGCCCATAAATCATTTTTGATTAGGACCGCACGCATATGTAGCTTCCATGTGTCGTAATTCTCCGCATTGAGCGGCTTGATGCGAACGACTCCCGCCATGTTTGCAATATTCGCGAAATTTCTTTTCGAAATTTATACTCCGCGTGTTTCCGGAAAACTTTTCGTTTTATTCTTTATTTCATGCCGCGGGAAATTCACGTTACCTTTTGTTTAAAATATAAAGCACTTCGCGATGGGTCTGGGCCCATAACCTATTAGGAATAAAACAAGAGTTTTAGAGCTTCGTGTATTAACGCTTTAATAACTTCACTTGTTCGCAGCATACAAAGGACTAACTGAAGGAACAAATGTAATTAAGAACATTGATAAAGTGGAATGTTAATAAAGAACAATTCATGGTTGCATAAAATAGTATGAGTTCAATAGTCTAAAAAAATGTATGTTGGTAGTCGAAACTACTTTGCTGCGCCAACAACTATAGAGAAAAGGTCGAGCCTAGAAAAATCGATGACAAACAACCAAGCAAGCGCAAAAAGTGTTCCACCGTTTCATTCTCTTCTATCACAGTCAGGTGTTTGTGCCATGTGAAGTGATCTGTCAGCGGTCCACCAAGTTGTCTGCAGTGCCGTCTGCTAGTTAGAGCAAAAAATTAGATATACCTTGTGAGATTGAAGGCAACATGAGTTTTCGGAGTGAAGTATTCACCCAGTTTTTGATGGTGGCTTCGACTGCCGAAGGTGGGATTGCTAAAACTGCTTGTGGACCGAGGAATGGTCTGATCAAACTCTGGCCAAATGATCAGATGTCTCATAACAAGGTACTCCAGAGTGACCTGGCACCCAGAGTAAAACAACCTCGTTATGTTCACCATCAGATTTAAGTCGAGACTTGCATTGCGAAACTAGTTTGGAAGTACTTTAATAGAGGGCTGGTCAATACCTTAAGTGTAGCTTGGTTGTCACTGCAGTCATGTATACTCCTGCCCCTCCACCTATGTTCCACCACGTAGCCCATGGATTTGAGTATTGCAATTACCTCAGTCTGGAAGACCGAAGCATATTCCTCTACAGAAAAGGGAAACTTATCTCCATTAACCTCGAAAAAGGCCCCAGATCATGACCCAGAGTCAGTTTTGGAGCCATCAGTAAGAAGATTCGACAATTTGTGAGTCAGGTCTCAGCTATGGAATCAAACTAGCATTCAATCTCAGGGAACTCAACATTATAGAATCTCTTCAACAAATGTAATGGTGGCGTACTATCCTGTAGCATTAAAAAGACACAAGTGTTTAAATCTCTGCCGCCAGCAAATTTTTGCCGCGCCCCACTTATTGTCATACCAGCATCCGGTTCTTTTTAGTCTGCAGGTGGCCTTTAAGGCTTCCCCACGTGAAAACACAAAGTGACGGTAAGTCCAGCAATGCGTCAAGAGATACACGACTCAAAAAATTAAAGTTAAATAAAGAAGCTATCAAGCAACCATTTTGGTTCTTTACATCGAAGCCAGATAAATTTTCATGGACCCCCATTTACATCTCATGGACCCCCATATTTTGTTCACGTCACCGTGGACCCCCGTCGAGTCTTCCGTGGACCCCTGGGGGTCCACCTGGACCACTTTGGGAATCACTGCTCTAATGGGTTGCTTTTCAAAGAAGATGCTGAAGCATAATAAGTTTTGCGCTTCCGACACAAGTAGTCTTTTTCGATACCTACTTGGATCGCAGTAAAAAGTATGGAGTACAAAAGTACTTAGTAGATTGAGAAAACAATCGAGTATGTACTTGGATTTACTTATATCGATTCATCTTTACTTTGAATGGATTAATCATGTAGAAGTCGGGGTACGGTTCGGCTATTTGTACAATGTACAAGGAATTGGGCTCTTGTAACACACGCTTAAAATATGGACTTTTCAGTAAATTTTGGAGTGAACTCTATGCAAAAGTACTGTGGTTTAGCCGGAGTTGGACTGATGAAAGCTTTTTGTAATACATACAATTGGGAATTTTGGGTTTTTATATAACCGGCTTAAAATATTTTAAAAATCGAAGAGAAAGGACAAAGTTACTTAAAATCGCAATATAACAATTAGCCAATTCTTCAGGAACTAAATAAAACTGAAAAGTTTATATAACTAGCTTGCCAATGCATTTTAAAATTATCCGATACTATCGACAGTTTCAATGCAAACTATCGAAAACATCGAGTGGGATGACTATCGATAGTTTTACAGCTCTAGCTAGATCCCAGTAATACATACTGCCAAGTTTCGGGCTCCGGCGAAGTCGCACAGCTTCAGCCGTTTCTATGTGGAGGCTGAATTTTCCGACACTGGCGCCAAAGATCCCTTCGTTGCCCGACTTGACATTTAAATCGCCAAGCACAATTTTTATACATGTCGGGGCAGCGCTAATACGTACGCTCTAAGCTAAGAGATCCTTGGATGCCTCGTCCTTCTCTTCCATTGGGGCATTGGCACATATGAGCGAGATGTTCAAGAATATCGCTTTGATGCGGATTGTGGCTAGACTTTCGTCCACTAGAGTGAACGCCGGTCTCTCTCTTACCACAAATCAGACACCGAATTGCGCTCCTTTACGTTGCAACTGTAGTAGACATCGCAAGGCTCCTTACCTTCCTCGCCCCGTCCATCCCATTTCATGGATGGCGGTGACGTCAGCCTTTATTTTCCCTAGGACATCAATCAGCGTAAAATCATAGTCCTTCCTATGTTTGCGGTAGTCGTCATCAAAGGAGGGGGTATCCTCCGAGGCATGTGTTTTTTTCATTGGGCAGGGTTTTAACGTGGCGGGACCCAAACCCAGCGCACGCGGGGTTTTACGCCCTCCCACTTTAGCTCGCTCCCAACCTAGCGTTCGGTCGCTACTCAGAGGATTCATGGATATAAATATTCGTACGTAGTTAGCTGTGATTTGAACCGTAAGCACACGAATCACTTCTGGCCACTCCCAGGTGAATGACAGTCAAAAGCTTTGCAGTACTGGGAAATGTACAAAACATAGTGGTCAAAAGCGAATATCTCAACTAAACCCTGATATATTTTCTCAATTCATAACTTTACATACCTGTATAGTAAACCAAATAGCCGGACCAGACGTTATTCTAAAAAAAATTAAAAAAAAAAATTAACTTTTTCCGTATACTCTGTATTATTCCTCCGCAATTTTTTAAGGTAAACAAACAATTTATAATCATTGCTATGCAGCGAAATATCTTCTCTTAAATTATATACGTAGGTATGTATAAATATGAGGACGTATTGAACATTTTGAGTATGCACATTTTTTATGCTGGTATATTCATTTATGCTAAATATATTACTTGATTTTGTTTTGTCACACCGTGTAATAAATAAAAATTTCATTAAGGGCCGTTAACTTATCTATTTTAAAGTATAGTTAAATCATTAGTTAAACTTAAGTACAGAAAATTCTGTGTAATTTTTCTGTAGAAAAGTTTAACTAATGATTTAACTATAATTTAAAATAGATATATTAGCAGCCTCTAAATATATGTGCGTTATATGTTTACTGCCATCTACTGTAATTACTTAAAAAGTAAACGTCTTGACTGTTCACCCAACCGTTCTATAGTTTTATCAATAATCTCAGATTGGTTCTGTGATACAAAACTTTCGATGTACGCTTAGAAGACACGAACCTAAAGACAAAGTAATAACCAACTGAACTATAAATTTATTTATAGTTACCCTTTTTAAATGGAAGTGCTTTGAAGTTAGAGAAAATAACTTGATACAGAACCGGATGATCCACATATCCACTTTTTAAATCAATTTACTAATTATTTTGTTAGCGTTGAGTGTATAATTTGTTATATAATATATAATATATAATATATATATATATATGTATAGGAAAAACCTACGCCCATGGTGAAGTTTTATTTGCAGCATTTAGAAAAAACGGATGAGAATAAATGGGCACATATTTCGATGTGAAGCCAAACTCCCTGGGAAGACAATACGTATGAATAATTGTATCATGGTGCCAACATACTTTACTTTACTTTTTGCTTATTATTGCTCTCTGAGAGGCATGTGCAGACAGTGAGCAGATCATTCAAAACGGGGGCGTTTCAAATATATGGACATCGAAATAAATTACTGGCTTTTTTCTTTGAAATAATGTTGCAAATTTTACAATATGAGAATGTAAAATTTTTCTTTAGAAAAGAAAACGCCATAAGTTTGTAATTGATCTATTTTTTATATTTAAGTAATACAAACATGACATCTGATGTAGAGCTTAGCTACGTATTAGGCCCGTCAGAATGGGTACTTGTACGTCAAGAACGGAAAAATATGCGAAGTAAGTGGCGTACGTACACTGAGGGTAAAAAATATTAAAAGCAAATAGAAACGTCGACGAAAGTACTGTATATTGGTAAATATTCAATTCAATTACGCGCATATTCAAATGACCGCGTTCGTTCTGAAAAAGCATCCATGAAGTGAATAATCAACACAAAAACTAAAAAAAAAATATTTAACTTGCATGTTGCCTGCAGTGGAATTCGAACCCTGACCATCTCTGGATATCAACAAATTCTGGCATGCATCTTTGCGCACACACCCTGTAGGATCTCGGAATAGACTTAGAGCACACCACAAACTAGACTACAAGTGATTGTAACTAGTCCAAAGTTTGGTCCAACAACATGTAAAATTCTATTTACATTTAACATTGAATGTCTAGGCCCGCACCAATTGTCCGCTTCTGCATTACATTGTAACCAGTTTTGGGGGAAAAAAAAAAATAAAACTTGCGCCAGCTGCGATTCGAACCGGGGTTCTCAGATTTTCCAAGCGGATACTCTCTCTGCATGCCAATGTCGCACATGAAAATTTGTTGACTAAGTGCCTACATATCAGCAAGTCGTTAATTGTACCCGTTGTCCGCTACTGCATGACATTGTAACCAGTTTTAGATCAAAACTCTTACCTTATGCATTACATTCGGACCAGTTTTAGAACAATTCACCTGTTTTACATCACATTGCTTTATATTTTTGGACTATCTTTGGTCTAGAGTCTAGACTCTAGATACAAAGCTACTATGCCTACGACTATATTTTTCGAGCAATTGGACCAATCTTTCCTTCAAGGCGATTTGCACCCTGATAAACAAAAAAATTTCAGGTAAAAGTGTCACCGTTTTTGAAATATTTAAATTTTTTTGAATTAAAAACAAAAAATCGTGCCTTCTCAT